GTGTCACATCAGGTCTAACTCTGTAAAAGAGAATATTTCAAAGACGCCACCTCCTATTTAGAACCACTAAATTCCCTGACATTAGTGGTCATATAGGCAGCAGGCCAAATTAGAGCAACATTGATTTATACAACTGCTGATGTTGGCTTTCTTTCCATTTACAAAGCGAGAAAGCGAAGAACTTCCATTCAGCAGGCAAAATTGAAAACGATAAAGGAATAAAGAGTCAGGGAGGGGCTTGTGTTTTCCCCCTAAAAATTGATTTACTGTAGATCTTCCAAAGAAGGCCTTTGGAACAGCTTAAATACATGTATACTAAGTTTAATGTGAAGCAGCCCATGTGTATTCTGCACCGCCACGGGCTCACTGGGTGTGTCTGGAACTCAGCATGAATTCATAATTGCTTCTGAGACTCTCTGTCCTCAGAGTCAGTGTCCACGTTCAGCAAAATCTCATGGGAGAGTGACTTGACTCCTTTCGGGAATGGCATTCTCTGCCTGTGTCCTTTCAGTATTGTACATTTGTGTAAGGTACGGTATCTCACATTTGTTTCCAGCAGTGGATAATAAACTATTCTGCTGGATAGAACCCTCCTTCTTTTCTTTTGTCAAGGGGAAGCTGTTGTACACTGTTGTTGTTTTGAATGCAGGAAAGAATACTGAAATCTGAGCTTCTACCTACTGTGCAAAGAATAACACTTTGACAAAACTTTCTTCATCCCTGTTTTTTTGGGAGAAAAAAATGTTGGTAAAGCACAATAAAAGCCCTAGGGAACTATACTGTTTTGGGAGCAAGTATGTAAAAACAAACTGAATCAAGGGTACTTATTTGTCTTGGGTTTGACCACGGGGCAGAGCAAAGCCACTAATGGGATGAAGGAGGACACCTATGGATGTGTTGAAGTAAAGATGTGTTTAGAAGTAAGGAAAGAAAGAAAAACCAGGAAAATCAGGGAGAATATGCTGTTCACCTTAGAAATGAATCTTCCTTAACTTCCTGATGCAAAATCATTGATTAAGCCATCAGTCTTCCGGCCAGGGCAATCCTAATTTTGGATCTAGGGGTGAGGATGGGGAGGGAAGAGAGAAAGAACATAAACAGCATGGAGAAGACCAGGCTCCTCGCAGTGCACTTTCAAGAAGAAATTTGAGTGGAATACGGCCCTTGCCCTTTTAACAGCCTTCTTGGAAAACTGAAATCACACATTATGGACCTGGACAAGGATCTAAGTCGTTGCTGAAGATGATACTGGTATTAAAGCCCAGTAAGAACCAGTTAAATTGAAGTAGCTGCTCATGTTAGTGTGGATTGTTCCACTTTTTTCTTGTCTTTCAATAGCCATTCTCCATCCATATTTTTCCACAAGTCCCAACTCTCCTTTTAAAATAAATAAATAAGTAAATATTTGACTGCTACAGAAAGTACACAGATATGAAACATGACAATTATGTAAAATGAACCAAACTACAGTATTGTGTTTATAGAGCTGCCAAGGGTCAGAAGTGACTTGATGGAACATAACAAAAGAAATGGCCTCACAGCGTGTGAATTTGCTGGTTTAAAATGTCGTATCACAAATCTAGAATTCTACTCTCTCTTGCAAATGTTAATGCCCTGGTTCCGCACTAGAATCCTGCTTCTTTCAGCCTGAAGCTGTGTAAACATACAGCAAACTTTTTAAATACAGTGATGTTATATTTTTATTCAGTATTCAACTGGAACTACGGTGTGGCCTACAGTGTCTGTCTTGCAAATGTTAATGCCCTGGTTCTGCACTAGAATCCTGCTTCTTTCAGCCTGAAGCTGTGTAAACATACAGCAAACTTTTTAAATACAGTGATGCTATATTTTTTATTCAGTATTCAACTGGAACTAAGGTGTGGCCTACAGTGATGTGAAAAAGAAAGTACACCCTCTTTGAATTATAGGGTTTTACATATCAGGGCATAATAAAAATCATCTGGTCCTCAGCAGGTCTGAAAATTAGATAAATACAATCTCAGATGAACAACAACACATATTACACCGTGCCATTATCTATTTTACATTGTTCATCTGAGCATGTATTTACCTCATTTTCAGACCTAATAAGGACCAGAGGGTCTGAAAATTAGATAAATACAATCTCAGATGAACAACACATATTACACCGTGCCATGATCTATTTTACATTGTTCATCTGAGCTTGTATTTATCTAATTTTCAGACCTAATGACCAGATTATTTTTATTATGTCCTGATACATAAAACCATAAAATTCAAAGAGGGCGTACTTTCTTTTTCACATGAGTGTAGCAGTTATTACATCCAAAAGCCAGGAAGCTCCCATGGGTTGCGCTTCCCATTGTACATATACAGCTGCTACAGTACACAGTATGCAGGATCTGGTGACCCTAATAGTTTTTTCAAAGTATCTGAGATGATCAAGGAGTGATTTCCCATTGCCAGACACCCCCCCCAATGGGTTGCGCTTCCCATTGTACATATACAGCTGCTACAGTACACAGTATGCAGGATCTGTTGACCCTAATATCGTAGTTTTTTCAAAGTATATGAGATGATCAAGGAGTGGTTTCCAATTGCCACCCCCCCCAAGAGTTTCAGTGGCCAAGAAAGAATTTGAACCCATGTCTCCTGAGTCGTGTTCTGACATTCTATCTGCTGCACCAAACTGGCTCTCAAATATTCTCCTGAACTCCTAAATCCTCAAAGCAGCTTTCAGTTTCAAGTCCTGCAAGCTGACATTTCCCAACACCCCGCCCTCTTGTTAGACTTGTAAGATGTTTTCACATTCCAATAAAATCCTTGTCCAGTCCTGATTCTGGATTCTGCACATGGACCACACGGCTTCTTTTTCTTCTTCATTTTCACATGCAAGAGAGAAACACAAGAAACACATCCTAAACTGAGCAGTTTTGATTGTTTTTTTTAAAAATTCATTCGTTTGGAGGGAGAAGGGTCCTCTAACGTTGGCCTCCTGTGTAGTGTGTGGTGCAGCGGATAGAGTGACGGACGCGGGAAATCAGGGTTCGATTCTCTTCCCAGGTGCGGAAATTCACTGGGGAGTGGAGCAAAACTAGTAACACTGCTCCTGAAATGCTTCGCTTAGCTTGAAAGCTCTCTTAGGGTCGTTAAGCCCGTCCCGCCTTGAGTGCGTATAAATACGCCCCTTAAATGTTAACTTGAGCAAATGTCCCGGGAGGCTCCTATATCCTACTATGGAAGTTAAGCAACTTAAATCATTTAAACCTCTTCCTTTTTTAAACTTTTTATCCATGGTAAGAGTTCCCTGTGTCCACCACGAGGGTCCCAAGGATGCTGTAGTGCAAGGAGCACAACGAGGGAAAAGTAAAACCTTCCTGCTTCTTTCAGCCTGAAGCTGTGTAAACATACAGCAAACTTTTTAAATACAGTGATGCTATATTTTTTATTCAGTATTCAACTGGAACTAAGGTGTGGCCTACAGTGATGTGAAAAAGAAAGTACACCCTCTTTGAATTATAGGGTTTTACATATCAGGGCATAATAAAAATCATCTGGTCCTCAGCAGGTCTGAAAATTAGATAAATACAATCTCAGATGAACAACACATATTACACCGTGCCATGATCTATTTTACATTGTTCATCTGAGCTTGTATTTATCTAATTTTCAGACCTAATGACCAGATTATTTTTATTATGTCCTGATACATAAAACCATAAAATTCAAAGAGGGTGTACTTTCTTTTTCACATGAGTGTAGCAGTTATTACATCCAAAAGCCAGGAAGCTCCCATGGGTTGCGCTTCCCATTGTACATATACAGCTGCTACAGTACACAGTATGCAGGATCTGTTGACCCTAATATCGTAGTTTTTTCAAAGTATATGAGATGATCAAGGAGTGGTTTCCAATTGCCACCCCCCCCAAGAGTTTCAGTGGCCAAGAAAGAATTTGAACCCATGTCTCCTGAGTCCTGTTCTGACATTCTATCTGCTGCACCAAACTGGCTCTCAAATTTTCTCCTGAACTTCTTAAATCATCAAAGCAGCTTTCAGTTTCAAGTCCTGCAAGCTGACATTTCCCAACACCCCCGCCCTCTTGTTAGACTTGTAAGATGTTTTCACATTCCAATAAAATCCTTGTCCAGTCCTGATTCTGGATTCTGCACATGGACCACACGGCTTCTTTTTCTTCTTCATTTTCACATGCAAGAGAGAAACACAAGAAACACATCCTAAACTGAGCAGTTTTGATTGTTTTTTTTAAAAATTCATTCGTTTGGAGGGAGAAGGGTCCTCTAACGTTGGCCTCCTGTGTAGTGTGTGGTGCAGCGGATAGAGTGACGGACGCGGGAAATCAGGGTTCGATTCTCTTCCCAGGTGCGGAAATTCACTGGGGAGTGGAGCAAAACTAGTAACACTGCTCCTGAAATGCTTCGCTTAGCTTCAGAGCTCTCTTAGGGTCGTTAAGTCCGTCCCGCCTTGAGTGCGTATAAATACGCCCCTTAAATGTTAACTTGAGCAAATGTTCCGGGAGGCTCCTATATCCTACTATGGAAGTTAAGCAAGTTAAATCATTTAAACCTCCTCCTTTAAAAAAAAAAAGATAATAATAACTGCGAGATCGGTGCTGTCAAAGCAAAGATCTCCTATAACAGCGGGGCGCTGTGTGTGTGTGTGCGTGCGCGCGCCGGTTGCATTCAGACGTTTAATTCT